AGTGCGTTCTAGGCGTCGATGGAGCCCCCCCCTCTGCTCGGAACGTCGGAGGCCTTGCGTTTATATTTTTTTAAGCTGCGACAGTTCCTCAATGGGGGCCATCCCATCCCCCTCCTGGCTTCAACGATGGGCGTGTCGCGCCCCTCCCCGAAGATGACCCTGAAGTTGGTTCCCGGGCCCAAAGCAGGCGCCCCTCCCAGACTCAACCTCTCGCCCGCAGCAACGCCGACAATGGGGCCGTCGCGACAGCCCCGCGAGCCCCCCGGCGCGACTGCCGCCAACGGGACATGCGCCGGAGCGCAGAGAGGGTTCTTTCGAGGCAGGCAGGGGCCCCATCACATGATCGACCTCGACGCCCGCCTCGCCTCCGTGAGTAGTCTCGAGGCCGCGTTAATTCAACGGTGCGGCGTGTCTTCTCGACTTCCAGCAGGCCTCCCCCAGCCTCAACCGGCCTTTGCCCGAAAGGGCACCGGGCCGGATGGGGGCCCCAGGGAACGCCCGGAAGTTGATCGAGAAGCTGCATGATCAGGTTCGGGCTTCCACGCAGTCCCGCGGCCCCACGGACCAGTGGTTTTCCATGGGAGAAGGAGTGATGCAGGGGTGCCCTCTGTCGGGGGGTCCATGTGCAATCTGCGTGGGCCCGACTCGCTGGTTCCTTTCAGACTCGCTGATTTACCTTCTGCTCCAGAATATCCGATTCGCGGATGCGCCTGTGATTTGGCGGCCGTCGCTGGGCTTCGCTGTCCTCGCTGCCCGCCGCCCGCAGAAAGATGCCGCGGGCGGTTCCAGGGGCCGGCCCCGCCGCGCACGCCGCCAAAACCGCGGTCGCCATTCCGCGGCAGTTTGAAATTTCCGTGGCCGCGGGCACGTTTCGAAAACATGGGTTGGAGATCGGAAGATAGTGGGAAGTACATCAGGGAAATCAAAGGCATGACCGCTCCTGTCGGGTCGCGGGCCAAGCCCGCCACTGCGCCGAGGCAGCGGTGCATCGAGCTAAAGCGCAGGAGCCCGCCGCTTGCTCGGACTGTCCTCGCTCGCAAGTCTCCTGCGTTTGCAGTCGTAGGCCGCGTGGCCCAAGTTCATCCCGGGGTGCCCATAAGCGCTACATCGAGTGCAGTCGGGGCGCTGGGGAAAGAATTTGTTCCGTTTGGGGCGGTCTCATGGTTCCTTCGTTGTTTTGCAGTTTGCTCGAGGTTGTATTGAGGCTCTCGATGAGAGAGCGAAGTTGGACTTGATGGAAGAAGGGGCCTCTTTTCTGGTTTCGGGTTCTTCGCAAGCGCCGACTGCACCTCGAGGGAGGCATAGTGCCAGTTTGGAAGGATTCCCGTTTTGAGAGCACGAGCGTCGGCGCTCCTATATCTGTTCCCGCTTTGCTGCCCTCCGCCTCGCGATAGCAAGAGTGTAGCCTTGCATCGCGCCCAGCAAGGGTGCGTTTTCAATCCTCGATGGCGGCGACAACGTGGTCGCCCCCCGTCGGGGCAAGCGTTTTCGGTCCTCCATTGTGGTTCACCTTCGAAACGCGTTGGACGCACATCCCGTGGGCCCCCCACTGGTCCCAGGAGAATATTTCGCCTGCGGGTTCCATGCCAAAACTTATTTCAAGATGCTGAAAGACAGATCCAGTCGCCGGTCCGTCCTGGAGCCGCTGTTACGGAAATGGTGCTTTCAGTACCCCGACTTCGGGCACTTTCACCTTCCGTAGGCGCCTGCGTTTTAACGCGATCGCCTCCAAAATCCCCACCACGTTCATGGATATACCTTCGAAGCTATCCTTGCCAGGTGGAATGCCTGGGCGAGATACAGAAGTGCGAGTGGTGTGTGTAAGCTAAGCAGTCGGCGCGGATGCGGCCATATGATGCTGCGTTACCAACGTGGTGAAGATTGTTTCAGCCTGCGGTGAAAGCCCTTGCCCCCCTCTTGCCTGGCGCTGCCGTCTCGGGAGGCCCTGGCTGTTTTGTCCTTGGCGGTCCCTTGCGTTTTTTTTATTATATAAAAACGAGGGGTGTAGCATCTATTTAGCCATTGATTCGACCCGCTCCACAATCAATCAGGTTATTGACGTGGACCCTTTTTTCCAAGTAGTTCAATCCGATGTACAGTTCGAGGCCGAGCGAGAGCCTCTGCAGCATTATCCGCCGCAGTTCGGCGTCTCTTCCACGGCCAGGTCAGCTGACGTCGCCACGTACGGAATTATGCGGCTTTCCTCCTCCCCTGCTTCCCCATGCTCTTCCCATGATCCCATTCACCCCGCTGACCCGAATCCTAGAAATATCATATCCAAACGAGGAGGAACAGGAGGAATGAGAAAGGGAGGGTTAAGAGGGAGACGCAGTAGGAGGGCGAGGAGGAGCAGGAGCAGGAGCAGAAGGCGGGGGGGTCATATCTACAGCGTCATACCTACAGCGTAGGAGCAGGAGCAGCAGCAGGAGGAGTTTGCCAGGTCCGGCAGTTTCTGGTTTTGGGGCCTGTCCAGGTGTTCTCTGCGTAGGTCCGTTCGTTAATTAACGGGGCCAGGCGGTTTGGGCGGCAACCTCCGCTGGATTCGCACGAATCGAGAACCGTTATGCAACCGGCGGCTGATTTGTCATAACCGCTGGAAAACCAATGGTTCTTGAATGGTTTGGAGGGTGGGGCGGCTCATATTTTCTCTCTTCATCGTCGTGCCTCCCCTCATCCTTCCTGCCCCCATCCTGCTTTGCCCCCCCTCCGTTGCCCTCCTCCAGAGGGGCAGGAGGAGGATATGAAACATAGCAGGCGGAGGCACGAGGCGCGGCTTCACGCTTTGCGCGAATGGGTGGGGGAATGGAGGGAATGAGGAGCGGCAGCGTGAGTGAAAAGGACGAGGAGAGGGCAGGTGAGGGAGGAGGGGCGAGGAGGAGGAGGAGAAGGAGGAGGAGGAGGAGGAAGAGGAGGAGGAGGGGCAATCATCTTCCTGGGGTCCACTCCGACCCTGTTGACCCGGTTCGGGTGCCAACTTCGGCCGGCCCGATCCGATTCGCCTCCGACGTCCTGTCGATCCCCTGCGGCCAGATGCTTGCAGGGCGCTGGTGCCGCATCTTGACGCGGCCGATCGGATTCCACTCGATTCCGGCCCCGTGTCGGTGCGGCTGGGTCCAGGGCGATGCGACGTCGCGAGGCGTCGTCTCGCCAGCGGCCGCCCTGCCCCGGCCCCGAGGACGCGCTGCTCCAGCGCCGCAGGGACGCTCCGAGCGCGCGGGATCGGGGGCAACCAATAGACAGCGGGACTCGGGAGGAGGATAAGGAGGGGGGAAGGTTTTTTTTTTAGCAAGGCAATGACTGACACAGCGCTTTGCTTGCCGGTAAAGTAACTGCCTCTGGCGGTGGCTGAGCGGAACAGGCCCGCACAAACACCCAGGAGCCAGTGGTCAGTCGGAGTCACCAGACTCCACGGTGCTTACGCGAGCAGCTTGCAGAGGAGCGTCATCCTCCTCTTCCCAGGGAGAGGGGCGGGGTGGGGGGGAGGGGAGGGGAGGGGGAGAAGGGAAGGGGGGGGAGGGGAGGGGCGCGGATGTTTGTTTCACCTCCGCGTTTCGCCGGGTGGCTTAGAGAAAGAGAAGCGCATCGGCCACCAATTGTTTTTCTGATTTCGACCCGAAGCACTGCCGATGCCAGGGTGAAGGGGGGGAAGATCAGGAGGGGGGGCAGGGGGATTAGGAGGAGAAGATGGGGCAAGACGGGGGAAAGGGGAGGGGGAAGCAGGGGGAGGGGATGGGAGTGGGGAGTGCAGGGTGCTGGGCAAGGGAAAAGCTGAGGAGGGAGATGGGGGGAGGGAAGAGGGGGAGGGCAAGCCAGGTGCGCTCGCGCCGTATCTGACATCCTGCCGCCTCCCTCCCATCCTTTCCCATTGCGTTGTTTGTGTGTTCAATGTCCGCCGACGGGTGTCATAGCATCTCTGGAACCCAGAAAGGATATCGTGTCATGCGCAAATGCAAAAGGGGAGCTGCATACAATGGATGAGGAGGAGGCGGCGCAGGAGCATAAGGAGGAGGAGGAGGAGGAGGAGGAGGAGGAGGAGGAGGAGGAGGAGGAGGAGGAGGAGGAGAAAGAAGAAACGATGAGAAAAGAGCAGAACGAGGTGGAACAGCAGCAAGAGCAGGAGTGGGAGAAGCGCGCGGAGCGGAATGGCCAGGGGAATGCGGGGGCGGCGAAAGAGGCGGGCAACAACGATGAGGAAGCACTCGCATCCTGAAAAGTTGCCCGCCTCCTGTGGGCGAGAGCGCCATCCTGAACGACGGGAGCAAAGCGCCGATCCTAGAATGAGGCCAACGTTACAGCGTTAGCACTGTTGTTATACACCGAGTGCATTCCGATGGAGAAAATCTGGAATATCAGCGTCTGTATCACTGGTCGCAGAGAAAACAATGCGCGGAAGTGGGCGGGCCTTCCCTGGCGATCTTCGGAGGGGTGAGGGGGTAGTATTCACATGCAGTAGTTGTGCAGGCGGAGGAGGCTGAAGGGGGTGAAGGGGAGAAGATGAGGTGGAGGAGGAGGAGGAACATTGTAAACCCAGGACGCATCAACGATGTGATATCGACCATCCTTCCAAGCATCCTCATTGCAGGTCCCTGCAGCAGTTTGTTTTCATTTCGCCAGGTGGACCCTTAGAGCGGAGCCGTCTGAGAATCCTCCATCGTGCCAGAAGGCTGTTCCTGGGACGCCAACGCCGCGGATGATTGTGACTGTGGCGCCCTGGCAATTCGAAGTCGTATCCGAACGCCGTTTCTGGCATACCGGCCTTTTGAATCAACATGACTGTGGCGTCCACCAAATTCTGAGTCGCGGCAGAACAGCATTCCTTCCTCAAGCATGCGATCCCTTCAACACGGTAGCAAACTTGTGAAACGAATGTGTCTGGCGCTAAGGCGGGAACCACATGCTAAAACAAAAACCGCCCTCCATCTTTGAAAGTGCGGCAAGCTTGTAAGACAAATGGGCGCGGGGGTATGGCGACAGTTTCATTTTGAAGCCACACGTCCTCCATGCCCGGCACGTTTGCAAACTTAACAAGGATTGTTCACGGCGCCAAGACGAAAACCACAGTTTGAAACAACGACCAGCCCTGAATGCGTGGAGCGGCTGCAAAGTTTTCAGACAAAGGTTTGGGGCAACCACCTGCCCTCCACCAGTGAGCCTGTTTCAAATGTCGAGCTTCAGGATCATAGTTGGTGGGGAAGTCTCAGGCGAACTCCTCCTGCCATTTCCCTCTCCGTTGCCCTCCTCCCTCCTCCATCCCCCAAACGAGGCGGCGCTGCACAAGCGGAGGCGGTTCTTGTAGGGCCAGCATCCCAAGTGGGGCGAGCGTGCAGCGATAATCGGGAGCTGGCCGACTTCCTGATAATCGAATTCCTGTGCCTGCGTTTGTGTAGGGTTGTGCACGGCGCCGCTTCTCGCTCGCTGGCTCCTCTGGGCCCACATCGCAGGTGGAGGAACACCTCCTGATCCACCCACCCTCCCCTCATCGAGGATGGGAGAACCCCGAACCCCAGCATATAGTATAGTGACGGCGTGGCCTCACCCAGGTCCCTGTGTTCGCACTCGGGATGATAGCTCTCGGCGGTTTTGTCTGATACGTCTGCAGAAAGGACCCCCTGCCCCTGATTGTTGTTGGCCCTCCTAACCTTGGTGCCACAAACAGGGTTAGGGGTATTTTCCTTGCTGATCGAGCCCAGAGGTCGACCCTAAGAGGTCTCGACCCGTTCCCCGGGACAGGCTTCTCGGCCTGAGTCCTTCCTTGCGGTCCCGAGGCCCGGCGAGGGCCCCCCAGGGGCCGACGACGGCGGAAAGTTTTGCCGTCGTGACTTTTGGTTGCTCGCGACTCGAAGAGGGGGGGGGGGCTGGGTCCGCCCTCTCCCTCCTCCGGAGGAGGAGGAGGAGGGGGAGGAGGGGAGAGAGGAGGAGGAGGGGAGAAGGAGGAGGGGGAGGAGGAGGAGGAGGGGGGGGGAGGAGGGAGGAGGAGGGGGAGGAGGAGGAGGAGGAGGAGGAGGAGGAGGAGGAGGAGGAGGAGGAAGGAGGAGGAGGAGGGGGAGGAGGGGGATCGGGAGGAGGAGGAGGAGGAGGAGGAGAAGGAGGAGGAGGAGGAGGAGGAGGAGGAGGGGAGGAGAGGGGGGGAGCGGGAGGAGGAGGAGGAGGAGGAGGAGGAGGAGGAGGAGGAGGAGGAGGAGGAGGAGGGGAAGGAGGAGGAGGGGAGGGGGAGGAGGAGGAGGAGGAGGAGGAGGAGGAGGAGGAGGAGGAGGAGGGAGGAGGAGGAGGAGGAGGAGGAGGAGGAGGAGGGGGCGGGGGAGGGGGAGGGCGCCGCCCGCCCGGGGCCGGCGCCGCTGCTCGCCCGCCCAGCCTCTCCACGGCCAGGCCGCGCGCGCCGACGGCCTCGCCGCCGCCGCCTGCTTGCTCTCCGCCCTGCAGGCCGGCGTCGGCACCCAGCTGAGGCCTCCGAGGGTCCTCGCCGCCGTCGTCGTTGTCGTCGTCGTCGTCTTCATCGTCGTCGTCGTCGTGGTCGTCGTGGTCGTGGTCGTGGTCGTCGTCGCCGTCGGCGTCGAGGACGTCGGCGTCGGCGTCGTCGTCGAGGTCGTCGTCGTCGTCGTCGTCGTCGTCGTCGTCGTCGTCGTCGTCGTCGTCGTCGTCGTCGTCATTCGCGCCATCGGCATCGTCGTCGAGGTCGGCGTCAGCGTCGTCGGCGCCATCGTCGTCGTTTTCGTCGTCGTCGTCGTCGTCGCAGCCGAGGCTCCAGTCCCCCGAGGGCGGCCTGAGCAGTGCCACCAGGACGTCGGGAGACCCATACCTCCCCGCGTCGTGGGAGAAGCCATCGGTCTTACAGTGGAGACCCATGCCAAGAAACGCCATGCTCGCCTCCAGGGTGCCGTGGGTTTCTGGGGATTCGACGGTGTTGCTGTGGAAAGCGTGACGTTCCCGCACCAAAAAACCAATGGACGTCCTGGGGTCTCAGGATTGGGTTTCTTGTGGAAGGTTTCTTGTGGTCGGGCCCCTGTTGTAATCATCAAGGCCAGGTGCCTGCGGCAAAGCTGCCACCGTGCCAGCGAAGTTCCTGGCGTGGGGACCCTTCGAGTACTGCCAGGAAGGCCGTCGCAGGTGACACCTCACGTCTCTGGTCATTGCGATGGGCTCTCGCGGGGGTCACTTGGGGCGTCCGAGGCCCGCTATGGGGCCCTCTTGGGGCCTCCGTGGCGCCTCCGTGGAGCCGTCCGAGGCCTTCTGGGGCCCTTTTGGGGATCGCAGTAGACCTCCTGGGGCCCTCGAAGACCGCAACTGCACTGATCTTCGACCGAAGGACGTTGAAAGCGAACAAAGCTTGAAACACATTAGCAAATGTTAGCCAGCGTGCGTTGGGCCCCAAGCAGCGTGGTGTAAGCCATGTTGTTTAAGCTCTACGGTGTGAGACACAGTGTGCAAGTGATGTTATGGAATCTACGCGGTGTAAATGTTGGTATTGAAGTTATGTTGTATAAGCTACATGGTGCGAGCTACGTTGGGTAAGTTACGTGGTGTAAGCCATGATGTGCAAGCTATCTGGGGTGAGCTACATGGTGCGAGCTGTGTTGGGCAGCACATCTGGTGTAAGCTGTGTGGCGTGAGCTCTGTGGCGTGAGCGATGCGTTGCAAGCTGTGCGGTGCAGGCCTGGTGGTATAAGCAGTGGCGTGTGGGGAATCTGTGGTGGAACGCGCACAGTGCGAGCACGGGGCGCTCACGAGCAGGCACGGATGCCAGCGCGGCGAGTCCTCGGGAGAAACAACGGGGAAGCCTGACCGGGCTGCCTCCCCGATGGCCAGAAGAAGTTGTCTTGGTAAGCTGCCTTGATCAATGGCAACTTGAGCCCAAATGGCTACGGTCCTGCTTCTCCTCCTCCTCCTCCTCCTCCTCCTCCTCCTCCTCCTCCTCCTCCTCCTCCTCCTCCTCCCCGAGAAGCCCACCAAGCACACGGGGCGATCGCCAGGCGCCCGTCGAGCGGGGCCGGGCGCCAGCGCGGCGATTCCTCGGGAACCCTGCCCAGGGCTCGGGGCTTTCACGTGCGGGCACGGGCGCCACCTCAGAGGAGGAAAGAGCACCCCTGCCTCTACAACCTCGCCCGCTTTCCTCGTGTTGGGCCCCCTGGGAGGCCCTCGTCGCCACCACTGGATTCGCTTCGAAATCCTGGTCAGAACGCACCCCGGGAGAGGTCCTGGGTGCAGCTGTATCGTTACCTTTTTTGGTTTCTCCACCACCGTGGCGAAAACCAGGGAAGTCTGTACAAGTCTTAAATATCGTTGGGGAAGATTCTCTAAGATTATGCACTGCTATGGAGAAACATAGATGTGGCCTCCCAGAGAGCGTCCTGCTGGTGTCTGGGGGTCTATTGGAGGCCACCTGGGGATTTGTTCGGCGATTCTTGGGAGTTGCTGGGCCCCTTGCGGCCACGTCGGGCCATCTTGGCAGCCTCGGTGCCCTTCCTGGGCCGTCGCCGCAGCCCTGGAGAGATTCTCGGAGAGTTCTGGGGGGAGGCGCCCAGTCGCCCAAGACCCCCCGCCGGGAGAGGGGGTAGGGTCTTTAGCATCTTCTTGGCGTCTGACGCTTTTGGGCGCTTCATGGATGCACTTGTGCAGCGCGAGCGAGGTGACATGGGGTGGGTGCGTGGAGCAAGGTGCGCCGAGGTGCCCCAGCGACGGTAGGGATGTACGCCGCGCCCTGCGATGGGAGGGGGGGCAGCGGGCTCGACATCCGAGCATCGTTTTTTGACCGCCGCCACCAAGGCCAGGACAAATCTACGATCCGAGTTGGTGCAGTTTTGCTCCGGTGGGAAGCCCGCAGCCCCCGTCCCGCCGCCAACGGCTGCCGAACTGCCCCCTAGCTTTCAGGGACCGAAAGTGAATGCCTCAAAACGCGCGGTGGAGGTTGTGTAGAATCTTGGTTACAAGAGAGCGACTTTTTGGCACCAACAAGAAGTGCTGTTTCTGCTTGAGGAACTCCCCTATCGCGGCGCCCCCTCGCGCCGCGCCGCAATCAGTTTCGCCGCGGGGTCGCAGCGTCGTCTGGCATGACCCTGGCATGTGCTTGCGGTGGCGGTGTACAACAATTCGCCTCGCATTCGAAGATTCCAGGCACCCATCCAGTTAGGACTGTGCATTCTGCCCTCACTGTGCCGCGGGACCGTCTTGAAACGACTCGGGCTGAAGAGCTGGCTCGGGGCCTTGGGTCTAGATCCCTAGCGGCCAACGTCGCTTCAAGAATGCGTCGTCGGAGGGCAGTAGACGTCGCAGGCCCAAGGCGCCGCCCCGAGGTGCCGCTTTCTGTTTTTTTTCGTGGGCGTCGAGGGGCACTGCCACGGCCAGACGCAGCTAGGACGTTCCGGAATCTCTTCTTCAGCGGAAGCCTGCGGAAGCAAACGGTGCGCCCTTAAGATGCCACCAGCTTGGGGCTCACGGCTTCCAGAACGAAGCAGCTCGAGCAGCTGGTCAGGAGGGTGCTCGGAGGGGCCCGGGGACTGCTTCGGAGCGATCGTGTCCCAGCAGGCCTCTGGCGCCTCGAAGACGGCAGGGATGCCCGGCTTGTTGTCGGGGCCGTCTCCCGCGCCCGCAGGCCGTCCCTGGGCCTTGTACGGGGCCTTCAGAGGCATGCCTCGGGATTGCTAACCAACGTGCAGTGAAAAGGTCCCGAGTCAGCGGGGTCCGTGAGGTTCACCTTCGCTTCCGGCATTCCGGGCCCCCCCCCCAGGCTTTGGCATCGCTCGGACGTGTGCATCATGTCATTGGCGCGGACCATCGAGGTAAATGAAAGACCACTCCGGTGCGACAGTTTTCGCGCGCGCGTGCGCTACCGCCGCGCGCAGAGGGGGGAGTTCCAATTTATTTTATCCTTGAACACCAGAAAGAATTTCGAACGAAAGAGAAAAGTACCGAAACTCGAGGGTTTCCACGTGTCGGGCCTTGGGCGACACTGGTTCGACACTCTTTCGACACTTTCTGGGTGTTCAATTTTATTCTGGGATGTGATCCTAAGAGATGGGGGATGGGGAGGCTTCCGAGAGGCACCCTTGCACCCCTGCTTCTCAGAAGGCGTGGGCCTTATCTCTGAATGTAGGCTTGGCGCCCTCCCAGGAGCAGCCTCCTTCGAAGAAGCGTTCCCCCCTCCCCTACCCTCCCCCCTTGCGCGCGCCGCCAAACGTTACCCGTCGGTCGTTGAAAGCAGATATTTGTGAATGTTCGGATCCCAATCTAATACCTCGTAGAGCTCTTCGGCATCGATGAGCTAGAGGAATTCCGGCGCGGGGTGGAGCTAGTTGGCCGACCCGACCCGGGCGGACAATGTGGGAAGTTTGGGTCGGTTGGGCGAACATTGTGAGAGATTTGAAAATTCGTTTTGAGAACCGGTATTTTTCGCACCTGTAGTGGGTTATGCCGCGTCTGCCAGTGAAATTCTCAGGTCCGCAGCTGCAGTATTACTATCGAGACACTTGGAGCAACCGACGTCGTATAAAAAAACCAAAAAACAACATGCTGCGAGTTTTTAAGCTGACATTCGAGAAAGCTCTTTACGAGGGTCTCAGCGGTAACCTGGTTGACGGTTTACCGCCGGCTCCCAGTTTAGGCGCGTTCCTACTTCAACGATCGAGTGGTTCCGCCTCTGTCCTTCCCCAGGGGGCGGGCGGAAGCCCAATCTACCTGAACGCTTACCTACCTCATGTTTCTACCCAATTCTTCCGACCAAGGGTTGCTTTTGTGTGTGTGTGTGCGTGTGCGTGTGCGTGTGCGCGTGCGCGTGCGCGTGCGTGTGCGTGTGTGTGTGTGTGTGTGTGTGTGTCGGTGTGTGTGTGTGTGTGAGAGTGTGTATGTGTGTGTGTGTCTCTGTGTCTCTGTGTCGCTGTGTCTCTGTGTCTCTGTGTCTCTGTGTCTCTGTGTCTCTGTGTGTCTGTGTGTGTGCGTGCGCGCGTGCGTGCGTGCGTGCGTGCGTGGGTGGGTGGGTGGGTGGGTGGGTGTGGGTGTGCCTGCGTGTGCGTGTGTGTGTGTGTGTGCGTGTGTGTGTGTGTGTGTGTGATCTGGCTTCCCTCAGGACAGTCACGTTGACATTGGAGGCCCTCCTCCTGGCCGTCTTCTGTGCCGACTTTCTCCTGCGCGCGAGGCCCCTGCCATCCTGGGGGGGGCCTGCCATAAGAGATCGGATCGGCCTGCCAGACGGTGCCCCACGGAAGTCGACGTGCGAGGACGAGGACGAGGCGGAGGGAGAGGAGGACGAGGAGGAGGAGGAGAATGAGGATGAGGAGGAGGAGGAGGAGGAGGGGGAGGAGGAGGACGACGACGACAAGGAGAAGGAGGAGGTGGAGGATGAGGAGGAGGAGGGGGAGGAGGAGGAGTTGGAGCAGGAGGAGGAGGAGGAGGAGGAGAAGGAGGAGGAGGAGGAGGAGAAGGAGGGGGAGGAGAAGGAGGATGACGAGGAGGAGGAGGAGGGGGTATCCTCCTCCGTCCCTGGGCTCTACGGGGTGGGGCAGCGGGTCTCCTTTTCCAGCGGGCCCTCCTGCCAGCGGGTTTCTGTAGCCCCCGAGTGCCCCACTGGACCCACGGCAGCCCCGGTGCATTGGAGGACGATCAAAGCTCGACGGGGAACCAGAGATCCGACGCTTAAAAAGATTGGGAGTGGGCGGTTGTTGGCCACTTTCGGCCTCTGGGGGCCCTGGCCAGGCCTTGGGAGCGTCGAGAAACGACACATGACGAAAAACCGGCCCTAGGGAAGTGGTCCAGACTTCAGTCGGGGGCGGAAAAGAGGGGGGTGATGACTAGGGGGGGGTGACAATCATGGCGGGGGCCATGATATTTCCCCAGATCTCAGGGCGCCTCTTCTTATTCCATTACGTTCCTGGCCCCCCGCTGGGCCGCGCACATGCCGCCGGCCATGATTTGCACCCCCCCTCTTGGACACCCCCCTCTTGGCCGCTCCCGATCCAGGGCCCACGCATCGAAAACATTCTAGCAGCCGGATGTCTGGGGAACATGCACCACGATTTCTCCGATCGGGGGAGTTTGCCTGACTATTTCCGGGAGGCCTTGCTGATTTTTCTGCGCCGGGATCGGCGTCGCGTGGACAGAGGTGGGTGACGTTGCTTTGGAGTTTCGGAGCCCCGTTCTCGGTCCTCATCGGTGGACTGCGCACTGCCCATAGTGGGATCGCGCTGTGCGGCGTGACATCGAGGCACACGTGACCAGTGAATATCGACGACGCCTACGGCGAATCACCGCCGCCACCTGCCCTTCTGGAAGCGCTGTGGCCGACAACCAGGCGAGAGTTTGGCCATGCTATCGGGCCAATTGTTCCCCGAGTCGGTTTGGAAAGCCTTTGGGGAACGTGGGGGGGAGCAAGAGGAGGAGGATCAGGAGAGGTAGGAGGAGGAGGAGGAGGATGAGGATGAGGATGAGGATGATGAAGGAGGAGGAGGAGGAGGAGGAGGAGGAGGAGGAGGAGGAGGAGGCGGAGGAGGAGGAGGAGGAGGAGGGTGAGGAGGAGGAGGAGGAGGAGGAGGAGGAGGAAGAGGAGTAGGAGGAGGAGACTTCTCGGGAACCTCTTGGGAGGTCTTATGGCAGGCCTCGTGGGAGGCCTATGCGGAGCTTCCCGGCAGCCTTTCGGAGGCCTCTTGGGAGCCTCCATGGGTTTCCTGGGGGCTTATTGGGGGCTTCTTGGGGGCTTCTTCAGGGCCTCTTTGGCCGTGTTAGGGCGCTCCTGACTCGTGTGACGCCGTCGGAAGCCATCTTGGGGGCCTTTCTGAACCGATTTGGGGCCCTCTTCGGGCGCCTCAGGGCCGTCTTGGAGACCATCTTGGAGGCCTCTTGGGCCGTCTTGGGGCCCTTTGGGGGCCGCCTTGGGGGCCTCTTGGGCCATCATGAGGCCTCTTGGAGGCCTCTTGGGCGATCTAGGGGCGACCGTGGGGGCCTCTTGGGCCGTCTTGGGCCGTCTGAAGGCCGAAGAGGCGCAAAAGACTAAATCCGTCAACACTGACAAAACTATACAGGAAAATCAGAAAGGGTTTGGCTTCTTCGAGCCTTCCTGGAGGACTTCTTGGAGGCCTTTCGGGCCGTCTGGGAGGCCTCGTGGGGCCTCTTGGGACATCCTGAGGCTATCTTAGGCTGTCTTGAGTGCATCTTGGGCCGTCTTCATCTTGGGGCCATATTAGCCGTCTTGGAGGCCGACGACGACTCCAAAGGAGCCGTTATACCCCCAAAGATCGCTGCAACACGTCCCAAGAGGCCTTCCAGAGCACTCCCAAGAGAGCCCCAAGAGGCAAAACTCATTGATTTTCCGATGGTGTATGTGGGATTTGGGAGTTCTCCCTTTTTCGGCTTCCCGACGCTCCAAAACGGCCCACGAGGCCCCCAAGATCGCCCTAAGACAGCCCGACAGACTTCTAAGAGGGCCCCAAACGGGCCCAACAGGGCTCTCAGACAGTCCCGGCAGGGCCCCAGGAGTCGGAGGCCCAAGGAGGCTCCCAAGAGGCCCTGCAGTTGCCCCAAGAGGCCCCCAGGAGGCCCCCCGGAAGCCCCAAGACCCCGCCCTTTGTTCTTTTGCATGCTCCCCCGCTTCCCTCATCACCTCCACTGCCCTGGGACTCATTTCTGGACGGGCTTGTGGGGATACTTTTTTTGGTCTGCGGCCGCGCGACAACGGTCTGGCAGCGAGGGGCAAAGTCCGGGGCAGGCGGCACGATGCGAATTTGCGAACACAACCGCCACGTTGGCAAGCCGCTGGTGGGGACACGCGAAGCGTCTTGAGAACCTCTGGACCCAGGAGGCCCCAGAGGTTCTCAAGAGGCTCCGAAAAGGCTCCAAGAGGTCCCCAAGAGGCCCCCAAGAGGCCCCAGGAAGCCCCAAGAGGTTCCCGAGAGCCCCAAAAGATCTCACAAGGTCCCCTCAGAATCTCAGAAAGTCGGCATCGCTCCAAAACGCCCCAAGAGGCCTCCAAGCCAAGAGGCCCCGCCACGAGGCAAAATCAATTGATGTTCCGTTGGTTTGTGGGGCATTTTTGAATTCTCCCCTTTTCGACTTCCCGACGCTCCAAGACGGCCTACGAGGCCCCCAAGATCGTCCTAAGACGGCCCGACAGACCTTCAAGAGGGCCCCAAACCGGTTCAAGAGTGCCCCAAATTGGCCCGAGAGGGCCCCCATACAGTCCCAACAGGGCCCCAGAAGGCCCCAGAGGTTCTCAAGAGGCTTCGAAAAGGCCCCAAGAGGCCCCAAGGAAGCTCCACCCAAGAGTCCCGAAAGATCCCGCATGGACCCCAGAGAAGTTCGGAAACGCCCGAAAAGGTCCCCAAGACAGGCCTTAAACGGGCCAGGAGCCCGAACATGGCGCCAAGACAGCCCAACAGAGCCCATACGCGCCCCAAGACGGGCCCAAGCCATAAAGGGACTGCACCACGTCCCACAGAGGCCCTCAGAAGGCTCCGGGAGGCTCCAATCACGTGACGTTAACATTCTGAACGCGAGGCCTCCCGAGAGCGTACGGCGGCGCAAAAAAAATCAGCGTCGAGATAATCGAGGCCCGCTGCGACACGGTCCCGAGGCCCCCCACCGCACTCACACGGCTTTTTCCATAGCCTCAAAGACACGGTCATTGGTAAGCCCAGGTCGCCGTTCCATATTCTGCCATGTCTTCCATGCCCCAAGTCTTTCGGCACTTGCGAGCCATTTACTGCGTTTCTGCCCACCCCTGTGTGGCCACGACCGCGTACATGAATATAGACATGCAGATGTGCAGACGTAGATATTCCCAAGTAGTCATGGTACTTATGTATGCGTAAGCATGGATCTCGTATACGAACGCATGGGCCTAACTTTACACATACATCATGCCTGCATGCCTGTGTGCATGTATGCATGCATGCATGTATGCATGCAGGCATGTATGTGTACATATGTATATAATATATATAAATGTATGTCTGTGTACACAAATATATATACATGTAGAGAGATATCCCAGGACCCCGAAAAGAGAAATAAACAAAACAA